AAAAGTTATATGCTTCCCCCTATCCAACCATCCATTTTGAATGAATAGCTGAGATGGCCGCAATCACAATGTCACGTCTCTACACTATTTTTATTTTTTAAGTTTTTTTTTACAAAACATTTTGTCACTAAATTTTGAGAGTCCGTTCCTCTCTTAAATTTGAACCTATAAAATATATAAAACAAATATTCTCAATTAACTAAAATGACCAAAATACCCTTATAATTTTTAAGGGTATTTAGTCATTATATTTAATCAAAAATATTTTTTAAATATTTTTCACGTACTCTCCATGCAAATTTCATATTCATATAATTCTTAGAAAAAAACTAAAAACAAAATACTTTGAGATGTCGGATCTAGATCAAATGGTAAATGGCTCACTTGATCTAAACTGGGCAGCTGGGGTGGGGAAAAGTATAGAAACCTTTCCCATACCTTTTACGTGACCCACTATATTGATCTCCATCGTCTTTCATCATAATGGACAATGATGAGCCTTTTAACCATTGTCGCTATAGTCCATTGGATCTTCCTTAGTGTTTCAAAACCAGGATCAGTGTTCCATGTCTGCTCATTGGATCAACGATCTAGTTTGGGTCTGGATCAGTCCTAATCGGTGATTCAAACAAATACTAAAAACAAATCGAATATATATATAGGAATCAGTTTGGCCCCGACGTACCTATTCCCATCAAAATCAACACTACGGATCGGAAATCGATGGCGTTTAAAACACTCATCTTGAAATCGATGGGGTTTAAAACACTCATCTTTCTTCTTAAGATACTTCGCATGCATTTTATAAGATGATAAACATGTCCTCTTAATTTATGTACAAAAAACAAACAAAATTGAAAAGGATTGTGGTCTGACATTTGGACCTTTGGGCCAAGCTCCAACTAAGGGGTGTTTGATAGACTTGAGAAGACCCTAAATATATTTTAGCGGTTTGTTTGCCTTTTTTTTTTTTTTTGTTTAATTCTTGTTTTAGATTCCGGAACAAGAGTTGTGTTGCTGTGTTAAGGGTTATAACAGGCACCTTAGTATTATTTTCTAAGCACAAAGCTGTAGTCTTTGCTTTAGGGGAAATAAATCGAAATGGAAAAATATGGACAAATCAATTATACAAAAACAAAGTCTGGTGCATCAAATACGGATGGCAACGAACTGGGCTAGCGTTAGCCCTGGCCTGGCCCTTGTCCCTGTAGAGCCGGCCCAATCTGACCCTGTTAGGGCCGGGCCTTTATAGGGCCAGGGCAGGCTGAACCGGGCCAAAATATGAGAAAGTCTAGTGTATAAAACACGTGTGTGCTAAAACCGTACTCCGCAAGTGTGAATTATGTGGTTTTTGGAACAGTCTTAGAAAGTTACTCGGACTTCCGATTTCCGGCAACCCCGTTTTTATGCTTCCTTACTTTTGAACTACCAATGAAGAATTTTGAAAATAACAGAAGAATTCACATAAGAGAAATTGGAATAGAGTAGCAGATTTTAGTGTAGAAATTAAAAGGCAATCCACGAAAACTAAAAAGAAGAAACAAATATAAAAGAAAAAGACAATCAACAACAACGCAATGATATACGTAGTTTGGCAACGTATCTACGTCTATGGGAGATGAGAACTTCTTTATTGGCAATGGAAAATATGGTTACAAAAGCTCTATTCCTCAAGTCTCTCTGATTACATAGCAATCTGTGTTTTTCCCTTAACCCTTGAAGAACCCCCAATCACAACAATATATATCGAGTCTCAGATAGATGATACAAATTACCGAAATACCCTTGTACATATATATATTAAGTCTCAAGTATATCGAGTCTCATGTACGGATATATCCGAATTCCTCCGGTCCTCAAGCCTTACGGGCCTTCGGCCCTTCGGGCTTTTAACGACCCTCCAGAGTCGTTTTTTTTACTCCATCTTGACAAATCTATTTCCTAAAAATACAAGACATCAATCCTCAATACTTAGGGGCATCATCTAAGAATGACTTATACTCTCTCTGTACAACTCTACAACCAGGTCCCTCTGTTCTTTTTTTTGTCTTTGATTTTATTTAGCATATTATTTTTACTAGGACCTACAAAAAGTGATTTATTTTTATGAAATAATTGAAGACTAATTCTTCAAACATATGTTTCCTATCTACAAGATATGGAAGTTGATATCCAAATATTGAGTTCATTGAGTGGCTGTAGTGAGGATAGTTGGACATAGATGGCTCTCTGGAGCACATTGCATGTTCCTCGATGTAGCTAGGACCGCGGGGGGCACGAGTACTTCATTTAATTTCCTCTTCAATTATAGGTTTTGGTCGTATTTATCATGCACTTCTTTGACCTGGCACTCTTGAAGATTCATTTCCATTTTTCAGTTATGTATGGAAGGATAGAAATAAAATGACCAACTATTTTGGAGATTCACTTAATTTTATTAGGTATAGGCACTTTTCTCCTAGTGTTCAATTTTTGGACCCCAACCCGCCCCGCTGGATCCAATTTTTTGACCCATACCAGGACCCAACGACCCAAATCGGGTCTACCCACATTCGTATTGACTTATATTGATAGTCCATACGAATGTGTGTAGATCGCGCCTTAAATAAGCTGACAGTGAATAACTGCTACACTTAACTCCTAATTAATGATATACTCAATTGGTTACGTAACTAAGACTATTGTCTTTACCAAACTGGACTTGCTCTCATTGTATTGGCAAGTTCAAATTGCGGATAGCTATCAGAAGACAACTTGTGACATGGTATGGATCATATGAATTCCTTGTAATGCAATTTGGGAAAACAAATGCCTCGGTAATCTTTTGTAATACTAAAAATGGTATGTTACCCGAGTACATCAATATGCTTCAAGTTGTTTATCTAGATGACTTCATAGTATATAGTAAAACATCTTATGACCATGTTCAACATCCAAGGCTTGTGATAGAAGATTAAGGGTAAGCCAAATTTATAAGAAGAAATGTATTTGCTAAAGAGGATATCATGTTCCTAGAGCACAAAGTAAGTACATACTTATCGAAATGGATAACCAGAAGGTGCAAGTCTGCCTCGAATAATCATAACTCATAGGGATCCATGAGGTGAGTTCCTTGGGCTAACCGACTATTATTGGTGGTTCATATAAGGGTAGTTGATGAAGATGGTTGCTCTAATAACATTTTCAAGAAGGATGTAAAGTGGCTTTGGATAGAGGCTTGTACTGGGTTTCAAGAATCTAAAGAGGCCAATCGCTAGCAAACAGATGTTGCTTCTCCCAGACATTGATCGTCTCTTTGAGGTACAAAAAGGTGCCTCAAACTATCCTACTGGTGGGGTAATAATTCACAATGGTCAGCTAGTGGCATTTGAAAGCTGCCTCACACAAAGCAACATCTACTGTATCCACCAGAAGGAGATCATGGTGGCAATGCATGCTTGAGTTTCTGGGGCCATTATTTGATCTGGAGAATGTTTGTCATTCGCCTAGAAAATATGGTGATGAGCTACTTCTCGATGAAAAAGAAGTTGATCCTCTGCAGGATAAATGGCAAGAGTTCCTTGGTAAGATTTGACTAGATCTTAAGAGTGTAATCTTGGGAAAGCAAACGTAGTTGTTGATGCCTTTCAATGGTTCAAGCAGAGGGGGACTTAATTGGACACAACCTCATCAAGACAGACTACAGACATTGAAGTTCGTTGGGCAAAGAGACGACTATGAAAGAATACGAAGGTCTAATTCAAGAGACCTTAGCTAAGCCCCCATGCATGCCGTTCAATGGATTGGCGAGGGAACCCCTCTTATTGCTCCTAACAAATGAAGAAACAACCTACCGGTCCTTCCACAATTCTAGAAAGACTCATAGATCGATGTAGCTCTCTCTCCTGGTTTGGCCAGTTCTTTAGACTGAAAAAACCTTAACAGAAAGGAGTTCAAAAACATATACAAAGGGAGGACCTCTATCCTTGAACCGACCATCAATGGGAGATGAGGCGGGAAAGCCAGGGTGTGAGGCTCACCACCATGGGTAAATATTGAGCAGGTGGGCTACAATGTGGCATTGAATGTTTATCGGCTGAGCAGGCGACTGATTATAGTGATCAATTCTAGTTCAAACAAGGTGCTGGCTAGACAGCATGTGTGGAATAGCCACAGGCTTTGTAATAGTTGCTACCCTTGAAGTGGGTTTAATGGTGGAATAGCGACAGCTTAGTAAGAACCAACTGCCTGGTGTCCCATGAATTTTGAATTCAGAAGTATGCAACCAACCCAGGATCTATTTAAGCCTTAATCTCAGACCCTGGGGACATCGAGTGCAATATGCTGTGTGCGTATATTAATAGAAGAATGGGACATTCAAAAACAACACAAAAAGAAAAAAAGTGAAAAAAAAGAATTGGGCAATGGCCTTTGGCACATTTGGGTGTGCTTTGCTTGTGAGTGTGTTGGGTGAGCAAGTAGACTGAAGTTAGGCTTTTAAACAATGTGTTGGGTGTTGCTTGTGAATGTGTTGGATCAGAACTGGCCGATCAGGATCAAGAAGTGATCAGGTCAATCCATATCCCATTGAATAGGGTAACCGGTTGGTTCCCCTATGAATTACCTAGTTTTCTGATAGATCCGGTTGGTTCTATCGAGATCTAGTTTCACTTTATTTTTAATATTTTAAATTTATTATTGCCTATTTTAAAAAAATTTATTTGCTGACCAGTTTTCCAGAGGGGCGATCCGGGTCAACGAACTGTATTTTTAAACCTTGATTTTTGCAATAAGCGTTCAAAAGAAAAAAATACTATTTGTACGACAACCCCTTACAATTCAAGAGGAACCAAATTAGGATGATCACAATATCTTAGGCACATATATCAAGATAATATCTCCATTCAATTGCCACAAACCCACAATATTGTATTAGAGAAGCTTTCACAATCTTCACCAACTCTATGAGTGACCAGCACCGAAAACAAACCAAAAAGAATGAAACCATGGGAGAATCCATATGAATGAATAATCCTTTGTTGTTGTATTGATAATTTACATAATAATTCATAAGTAAATATGCAGGGCTGGAAGAGACTATGATCAGGCCTACATAATTAGGGGGAAAGATTGAACCGAAAAATCCAAGAGATAATAAAGGCAAAAACCAGGCATGCAAGCAAGAAGTTTAGGAGCCGATGGCCAAGCCAAATGGCTCGTGGGTCCGGTGGTTGGGCCGCGGCAGGAGGGACATTGGCTTCCTCCACACGCTGGGTAACGTCTGTTGCCTCAGGGCACACAATATTACGAGCAGTTGAGCCACAAATCTCACAAGTCCTAAGAAACAAAAACATATTTTAAGTTAATTCCAATGGCTCAAAAGTCAGAATTAGGCTCAGACCCTGTCAAGAGTCTGATTTCAATTCCCCCAATCCCTGAACAAGCTATACTTGACACAAAAAAAAAATCAGAAACAAGAAAACTCGAGCGATTCCCGGCCCCTCATTCCAGTCCAATTCAGAAGGTAGGATAGACAATTTTCTTAATCACTGGCTAATTCTTCAAAAGTTCTCTAGGCATGCGCGCGCCAGGTACATAAGCCCTCCAGTAGGCAAGTGAAAATCTGGGTTCATATTAATGCAATCACTCAATCAACTCTAAGATAGTATGTTAAAGGCCAATAGATATGAATTTTGGTATAGTTGTGATCCATATGATCACAAACAAGCTATGATCATTAATGTTATCACTAACCAATCCACTCCATTCTGGGGCTGGCCACGGCCAGATGTTATCACTAACCTATCCACTCCATTTTGGGGCTGGCCCTGGCCCTATCAGTGGTCCCTGTCCCCCTGAGGACCAGGCCGGGCATCTCTCTAGGACCAAAACCATGAGCACTATCCGAGTCCCACCGGTTCCCTGTTCTTACAATTTAACAATTTGTTTTCTTAGGACATAGATGAATCTCTACATGGTATGTCAAATTCATGGGAAGAATGTCAAAAAACAAACCAAAATAAATAAATTATATACACCACTAGATGTAGAGAATTTATATATGTCACTCTCTCCCAGCCATCTTATCTAAATAGATGGCTAAAATAGCTTCAGCCATAATGTCACAACTGAGCTACTGACCATTCACCTAGATCTGACGTCTCAGAGTAATTTATTTTTAACTATTTTCTAAAAATCATATGAATATGAAATTTGGTGCATTCCATCATCTCATTGGGCGACCAAATTACCCCTAAAACTTTTAGGGGTATCTTGGTCATTTTATTTTTGTAGGCACGATCTTAAGGATTGGATGCCCCAAATTTGGTATCAACATCATTTCTAGAAAAATATTAAAAATAAAAATGTTTAGACGTGACATTTTTATTGGGGCCATCTCATCAGTCTATTCTAATCGAACAGCTAAGAGAGGGGTGGCATATATGAATTCCCTACACTCAGGGGTGTATAGAAAGCTTTTCTAAAACAAAACATAAAAATTTGAATTCACTAGAAAATGAGCATGGAAATTAATTTCGAAATTAGGACTTACATATTTCCTTTGATTTTGAACCAGGCTTCAGCACATTGCTTGTGAACAGCTGCAAGATCATCCCTACAAGAACACCCCAACTCCATGGCAATCCCACTCTCTTGCAATCCCAAGTGACAAATTCTACACTTCTTCTCTCCCTCACCCTTCTCCAAGTCGTCCATTCTATATTGATTAGGATGATGCTAATGAGTCTTGTTTGCAATTCGCCCTATTTGATATTTGCCTCGCAATATGTGATCTGGTCAACCAGGACAAAGAAGCAACTAACTAATATTCCAAGGGGAAAAAAAAAGCACCAATGAACATTATCTCCAAGTTTCAAAGAAATTGAAAGGCATATAATAAGCGGATTGTATACGGTGAGGCTATTTATTTTTAGTACAATGAGGTCACATTCACTTTTGGGATGTGAAATCCAATAGATAAAAGTGAGTTGTAACATTCGAGAAATTTTATTTACTTCTGGTACTATCGAGCGAACATTTTTAAACAACTCTTCATTCTTTCTCTTTACTTTTGGTAATATTGACAACATCAGATAGTCCTTATCTTTACTTCTGGTAATATGAACAACACATTCTTTTTACTTCTGGTAATATCGACAACACCAAAAAGATAGAGACGCGAGAGCTATAAGAAACTCACACTTTCTCATTACTAAAAAAGAAACCACCCAAAATCTTAGTGGGAACCACTTTTCTACTAGAAACAAACTACCCAAAATCTCAATTGGAACTGCATCTCACAGGGAACTGCTTTTTTATTAGAACCAAACATCTAAATTTTCGAGAGTTTGAAAGAGGCATCATCACAATGTTTTTCTCCATAAAAAGCCTTATTTCTCTCAGAGAAAATGTTTCTCTCCATAAAAAGAAGCATCATCACAATGCTTCTCTCCAATGTTTCTCTCCATAGAAAGCTTTTTCTCTAAGAGAAATAGAATGAGGCTCTATATCCCTCTGCTTATCGAGAACCACCATTCTCATGTGGTGACCCAAATATGCACACCAATTTTTAAGAATCTATACTAAATAAGAAACTTCCTATAGATCTTGTATATATCTCAACCAAGAAATATATATCCAAGTCATAATCTTTTTGGATTTTTTCTTAAGAAACTTATCAATAACAATCTCAATGCCACGTAATAAAGAATATCTCAATCCATCCCACAATTTGGGATTTTATTATGTCGGTGATTTTGAATAGCACCCACAAAATTTGGGACTTTATTATTTCGCTGATTTTATGTAGCACCAAATCTAACAAAAATAACTTTCCCTATTTTCTTTTCTCCTCTAAACTTTCCCTCAGAATTTCCAAAGAAATTTAGAAAATCCCAGCTAATTAACACCAAATAAATTGGAAAAAGAATCGAAATCAGGAGAGAAAAATTGGCCATTACGCGGATCACACGCCAACGTTAACTAGGGGTATTATAGTCATTCAGAAAATAAAGAGCATTTTCCAGTTCCGATTAATCAGGATAATCTCGATATTTCCGAAGATGTCAGGATCGTTTTTTTGTCCACAAAAATAAAGGTTGGGCAACACGTGGCATGAAAATAAAAAAGCCTCCACATAAACTAAGCGTCGGCAGATATAAAAAGCTAATTAATATGGCGGTCATCTAATCCTGACCGTCCATTAATTCATTGAATGCAGATCAATTTTCAATAATTGCAATTCCAATAATACTCCATTATGGGATCTGACCATATAATTTTTTTTTAGAAATATTTTTAAAACAAAATATTAGTGATGGACTAAATGGTACAGCTGGTAACCATGTACGCTCGCACCATGCAAAGTGAAAATGATAAAATTGTGATTTTCACTCCGTTCGCGCTCCATCACTATGAGGTTATCATCGTCCATTTAATAGATTTACGGTAAAGAAATTATACTCATGTATTTTTTTTTACTTTTATTAGTAGACTCAAAACTCCAAACTCAAAACATAAAATTCGAAACTCCATCACCCCTCAAACCATCCAATTGGACATCCAATGACTTGAAATAATTGTGACCTTATTATAAAAATAAATAAATGGACTCTACACAATACCTTAGGTTTCATTTTTAGAACATAAAGTATATTATGATTTTCCCTCTTATTCTATTTATTATATAAAATTTGAATTTGATATGTCTATACTTTTCAGTTTTCACTATTATATATACCTATAAAAACATTTAAAAATAATTTTAAATAAATAAAATTACCAACCCCTATACCATTCAAATATTTAAAAATAATTTTAAATAAATATAATTACCAACCCCTATACCATTCAAGGATAGTTTGATAATCTTGTTTATTTTGAATTATTTTTAAATATTTTTATACCTACATGGTACTGAAAAGTATAGACATAGACAAAAAGATATAAAATTAAAATACACTTTATATTCTCAAAAAATAAAACTTAATTATAAAATATGTAATATATTTAAATTGGTGTGTTTTGCATAAAGTTGCAACCTTAAACAATCCAGTTAAAGCACACCTTTAAATTTTATCATAAATATAATTTTGATATCAAAGATTCTTAAGATAGCTTGATAATCTAATTTCATCTCTAATTACAAAATTTTAAACTCTAAAAATGGTTTAAATTAAGTAGATCTATAAACACATGAAATTCTTGAAAATGGACAGTCCAAATAATGTGTTGCAAGATATACTATTTCGTGAACTCGAAATCTTTTTTTCTTTTCATATTCATCGAGATGATCAATTAGAGGGTTTCCAACATCCAAACGACATTTTATGATGAATTTTTTAGGTGCACTTTTCATTATACCTTTTATGGTCGCAACATTATATAAACTTTTTCCCTTTAAATAATAAAAATGAAATAGGGTTTAAGTGGGTCCAAAAGAAGATTACAAGCAACCGAACAAACCATACGGTCCATACGAGGAAAATATTCTACAACCACATGAGTATGGAATAGACGACACCGACCCAAAATCCACCATCCACCTTTATTTAGGGATGGTGTTGACTCCCAATTTATTTTCGTGGGAAAAGTTGCTCAACTCTATTGCCCATGGATTGATGTTGAGTAACACTACCCGAACACTATACTCGGTTGAGTCCGAATAACTAGCTCGAGTCCGACCTTTTTACTTATTTTAAAAAAAAAAAAAAAAAATTATATATAATATGAGCGTTGCTTTTATCGGCCAAATAGAAAACTAAAAGTATTGGCTAGTCTTTTTATAAGAGGTCCAAAGTTCCATTACGATAGAGGAGTATTATTTTTGAAACTCCAAAAAATTATACCTATCAAAAATAAAAAATTAAAACACAAAAAACAAAAAAACAAAAAAAAAAAAAGAAGTGACCGTCATTAAAAGGGAGAAAGTGTACTCCAGTAGGATTCGAACCCCGACTGAGTTAAAAATTTATACATTAGGATCAATATCTGGCTTAAATTTTAGGTACTAATATAAGTAAACTTTTAAAAGATGTTGTACAATCTACTTATACCGAGTCTCATAACACTGGTTCAAATAAAATATTACAATATATATTATTTTTAAGACTTAAAATCCTATTTATCACCATCATAATGGTTTGAAGGTTTATTGATATCAAAATTGCAATTTCTATTAGAGTTTCGAGGTCAGGCTTTGCTTTTCTTTTTTTTTAAAAAAAAAAACCTAGTCTTTATTTTAACCTTTTCCCTAGGAAGTGGTGCAGAGAGAGGGAACTTATGGGGAACCTAGAGAGAGAAAGAGAGGTGCTGGAGAACCTAGAGAGAGAAAGAGAGGTGCAGGAGTACCTATAGAGAGAGAGAGAGAGAGAGAGAGAGAGAGAGAGGAGGGTAGGGTGGTACGGTACGTAGACTAGTCGTACCGTACTCGTACTACTTACGTCGTTTACTTTACGTAAACCGAAACGAACACACTATACT